AGTGCCCATCAACAGACGAATGGATAAACAAATTATGGTACGTACACACAATGGAATACTACGCAACAATAAAGAACAATGAAGAATCTGAGAAACATCTCACAACATGGATGAATCTGGAAGGCATTATGCTGAGTGAAATTAGTCAGTGGCAAAAGGACAAATATTGTGTAAGACAACTATTATAAGAACTCAAGAAAAGGTTTAAACACAGAAGAAAACGTTCTTTGATGGTTATGCGGGTGGGGAGGGAGAAAACTTCACTAACTAGATAGTAGACAAGAATCATCTTAGGTGAAGGGAAGGACAACACACAACACAGGGGAAATTGGCACAACTGGACTAAACCAAAAGCTAGGAAGTTTTCTCAACACAACCAAACACTTCGAGGGACAGAGTAGCAAGGGCTGGGGTCTTGGGACCATAGTTTTGGGGGACATCTTGGTCAATTGTCATAACAAAGTTTATTAAGAAAATGTTCTGCATCCCACTTTGGTGAGTGGCATCTGGGGTCTTAAAAGCTTGCAAGCAGCCATCTAAGATGCATCAATTGGTCCCAGCCCACTTGGAGCAAAGGAGAATGAAGAACACCAAAGACACAAGAAAATATTAGCCCAAGAGACAAAAGGGCCACATAAACCAGAGACTCCATCAGCTTGAGACAAGAAGAACTAGATGGTGCCCAGCTACCACCAATGACCGCCCTGACAGGGAACACATCGGAGGGTCCCTGACAGAGCAGGAGAAAAGTGTGGAGCAGAAGTCCCATTCATGTAAAAAGACCAGACTTAATGGTCTGACTGAGACTGGAAGAACCCCAGAAGACATGGCCCCCGGACGCTCTGTCAACTCAGAACTAAAACCATTCCCGAAGCTCACTCTTCAGACAAAGATTAGACTGGACTATAAAACATAAAACAATACTCATTAAGAATGTGCCTCTTAGTTCAAGCAGATAGACGAGACCAAATGGGTGGTTCCTGTCTGGAGGCAGAATGAGAAGGCAGGAAGAGATAGAAGCTGGTTGGATGAACACAGGAAACCCCGGGGTAGAAAGGGGGAGTGTGCTGTCACATTATAGGGATGGCAACTAGTGTCACATTACAATATGTGTATAAATTTTTGTATGAGAAATTTACTTGAGCTGTAAACTTTCACCTAAATCACAATTTAAAAAAAAAAAAAGAGAGACAAAAGGTTTGATTCCCCAGGGGAAGATGGTTTTTCCCCCTCTTCCTCTGCCGTCATCCTTGCCTTGTATCTGCACGAACCATCTGGGCTAGCTGAACCAACCTCAGAAATGAAAGTGGTGTGACTTTCGGATGGGGGACTTCCCTACCAGAAACAGAGCAACAGGCAACAAGGCATTATCCACTAAGACAAGTTCCTACTGAGCAGGAGGAAAACGGAACTCCGGGATTAGTCTGGGTACACACTCCATTCTCTACATCTGATTTGTTCAATTGGAAAAACAATCTCCCTCCTTATGGAAAGGACCCCAAACGTATGGCAGATCTTTTTACTTCCATCTTCATCACCCACTGCCCTACCTGGGCTAATTCTCAGGCACTCTTGGCAATTCTTTTGAACCCAGGGACATTAGTCTTAAGAATAGCCAGGGAAAAAGCAGAGCATGTCCGTCAGCCCTACAACCCTATTCAACAAGCTCCTGATTTAGCAATACCTTCTTCTGAGCCTAGCTGGGACCATAATAATTCTCTGGGAGATGGCAGGCGCAACTATTTTTGGACTTGTCTTATTTTGGGGTTAAAAAGAGGTGGTCCAAAACAAAAAAAAATTAAATAAGATGTATGAGGTCTACCTTCTTTGAAAGAATTTTTGCTACATTCTGACAATATACAGATGTAGACCCAGAAAACCTAGAGAACGCAAACATAGTAAACATGGTATTTATTGGGCGAAGTGCAGCAGACACTAGAAAAATAGTTACAAAAAACCAAGGGAAGTCTAGGTATGAGGCTAGCACAATTAGTTGAAATAGATAGCGTTTAAAGGGCATACCAACAAAGACCAGGTCCAGGAAAAAAAAAAAAAAAAAACAGAAATTCAAACAGCAAGCAGCTTTCCTCATGGCCGCTCTGGTTTGGGGGCCTTTCAAACCAGGCCAACATAACCATCTGAAGGGACAGCTGCCTCAGGCATTGTCAAGAGCCTTCCCCCACTAGGTCAAAATCAGTGTGTTTATTGTAAACAGGAAGGGCACTGGAAGAAGGAATGTCCAAACTGGAAACCAGCGGAAGCCTAGCTGCCCCTGAGATGCTTCAATCTGCCCAGCCCAAAGATTCAGACTGACACTGAGGAGTACCGAGGGCATCCACCCACATCCAAGCTTCACCCACTGAGCCCCTGGTTACATTAAAGGTGAAAAATAACCTTGTAGATTTTCTTGTTGATACAGAAACAACCTATCCTGTTTTGAATCACTGGAAAGGATCACTTTCTCCCTGAGCTATGCAAGTAATCGGGGTAACAAAAACGACTTGTATAAGCAGGGCTCATCTGCTGGTGTAAATTTGCTTTCAACACTCCAGTGCTCCTGGTAAAGAAACCAAAAATAGGAGAGTATCGGTTTGTACAGGACTTACACACAGTCAGTCAGGTAACTGAAGACCTGCACCCTATAGTTCCAAACCCTTATGCCCCCCTAACTGCCCTGTCTCCAGGCTATGCCTGGTTTACTGTCCTACACCTGAAGGATGCCTTCCTTTGCATTCCTTTAGCTCATGAATCTCAGGAAATATTTGCCTTTGAATGAGAAGAACCCTGTTTGGGAGAAAAACAACAATATTGCTGGACTGTTCTCTCTCAGGGGTTCAAAAATAGCCCCATCCTATTTGGAACAGCCCTAGCAAAAGATCTTTGGGGTCTACAGATGGTTCGGGGTCTCCTTCAATATGTGGATGACCTCTTTGTCACTAGTCCTACCAAAAAGGACTCAGATAAAAACACAATTCTAACTTTGAACTTTCTAGCCCAGGCTGGTTATCAAATATCCACTGCCAAGGCTCAGCTTTCACAACAAAAGGTATCTTACCCAGGTTTCCAGATTTTTCAAGGTCAGCGGGCCCTGCTGCCGGAACACAAACAAGTGATCCTCCAGATTGCCACCCTGACCACCCGGAAGCAATTTCGAGGCTTTTTAGGTGTGGCTGGTTTTTGCAGGATTTGGATCCCAAACTTTGGGTTAATAACAAAGCCTCTCTATGAAGCCACCCATGGAAAGGACACTTTTGAATGAACAGATGAAAATCAAGGAAAAGCTAGCCTATGCTCCGGCATTTGGACTCCAGGGCCTCAGAAAGCCCTTCAAACTGTACGTACATGAAATGGAAGGAGTCACAGCAAGGGTTTTAACTCAACAACTGGGTCCTTGAAAAAGACCAGTAACATGTTTTTCTAAACTACTAGATCCAGTCCCCTCAGGGATGGCCAGCCTGTCTTACAGCAGTAGCAGCAACTTGCCTCCTTTTAGCTGAAGCGGAAAAGTTTACCTTAGGTCAGCCTATGACTGTGTTTGTGCCTCATGCAGTTCTCACCATAGTGGAGCAGAAAGGCAGGCTCTGGCTCACAGCAGGCCCAACGGCCCACTACCAAGCCCAGCTTCTGGACAATCCAGAGGTCACGCTCAAGGTAGATTCTACCCTGAACCCAGCCAGCCTGTTACCAACAAACCCTGCAGATGAGCCGGTCCATGACTGTCTCCAAACTATTGAAGAAGTCTATTCCAGTCGGCCGGACTTATCTAACCAGCCCATTTCAAATCCAGACTTAACCCTCTACACAGCTTTATAAAAAATAGAACTCAAAAAGCAGGCTATGCAGTGGTAACCCAAACCGATGTCCTGAAAGCCTGTCCTCTTCTGCCTGGAACCCTGGCACAGAAAGCAGAGTTAATTGCTCTCACGCAAGCCCTCCAAATAGCTGCCGGTGACCAACGTTTACACACACTCCAGGTATGCCTTCTCAGGCCTGCATGCTCACGGGGCCATTTTGGAAACAACAGGGCCTTTTAACATCAGCTTGGAAAGACATTAAGTATGCCACAGAATTTTTAGCCCTACTTAAATCTGTGAAAATGCCCACACAAGTTTCCGTCATGCATTGCCTGGGACATCAAAAGGGAACTTCCGATACTGTCTCAGGCAATGCTAATCCGCCAGAGCTGCTGCCAAACAAACTGTATATTCAAAGGCTAGTAAACAGCTAACTTTAATCCCTTCTTTACAACTTCCAGAAACAGCTCCAAATTACACTATTAGATATCTCAAACAAGCAGCTGAATGGGGAGCAACAATAGATTTTCATGGATGAAAACGTACACATGAAAGAAAGGTGATGATTCCAAGACACCTGATGGACCCCCTTCTCCGTGAAGCACATCATTCTATCCATTATGGGCAAAAAGCCCTTTACAACCTGGTGTCTAAACAATATTACTGGAGAAAACCTTCATCGAATTGTTCCTGCCAAATATGCACCCAAAACAACCGGGCCCCCTACCACTAGAATCCAGTATCAAAGACAGAGTTCAGGAAAAGACTGGCAAGGCGACTTCATTTATGTTGGTGTTCCTTGACACCTTTTCTTGTTGGGTAAAATCTTTCCCTTGTAAAACAGAGAAAGCATCAGAAGTTACAAAATGGCTCCTTAATAAAATCATTCCCAGGTTCAGCCTGCCTACAGCAATCAAAAGCGACAATGGATCTCACTTCACCTCACAGATTACACAAAAGTTTCCAGACTTTTAGAAATCAGCTGGAACTTACGCTCAGCCTAGAGACCACAGTCAAGCGGAAAAGTTGAAAAGATGAATCACATGCTAAAAACCCAAATTGCCAAAACCTGTCAAGAAACAAAGATAACCCGGCCCCAAGCTTTGCCCTTAGCCCTCTTGCGGGTACGGGCTACCCTCAGAAGTGGGCTCAAATTGAGCCCTTTCAAAATTATGTACAGAAAACCATTTCTTAAAAATAGCTTACCTTTAACCAGTACTCAGGTTTCTGTCACCAGGGAGCTCACTCTCTGAAAATATTTGTTGTTTTGTTGGGTGTTGTGTCTTCTATTCACAGGTATGCTCTTAGCCCTCTGAAATATCCTGTTGATGCCCCGCTTCACCCTTCCAGCCTGGTGACCAAGTTCTGCTGCAAACCTGGGAAGTGGAGCCCCTTGAACCCCGGTGGACTGGACCATACACTGTTCTTTTAACCACCCTCTTGGCAGCTAAACTTGAAAACATCAAAGCTTGGGTGCATCACACTCGCCTCAAACCTGCGCCATCCCGGGAAGACCCTCCGCAACAAGAACAACCTCAGCAAAACAACTGGACCTTCAAGCCTGTGCAGGACTTAAAATATCTGTTTAAAAAGAAAAACAAAACTAATGCCTAACCTGTGCCTCTTCAACCCGGAGACCCTCCATCATAATAGTGCTCATAATGTTTACATTGCCTTTACTGTCTTGGCAATCATTGTGTTCTTCTCTTTTTACAGCAGCTAGAAACTCCGTCTGATTGGTTGGTGGTCACAGGTAATTTCCCTGTTTCCCAGTTTTCATTGGTTCTGGCTTCTTGTTACTCAGCTGATAATTCTTTTACTAATCTGTCTGTTTTTGCCCTGCCTCTTAAACTGTCTTACAAGCTTAATTCAAAATCACCTAGCAGCTGTAAACATCATGATGCTTCAGACGTCTGACCGCATTCCTCTTAACAAACCTCCGATACTACAATGCACGTGCTTACACCAGTCAGCAAACTCAAAAATTCTGGAGGTCCGGGCCACCACCTACATAAAGATCTGTCTTGAAGATTGAAGACCATGAGAACCAGAGGAGGGAATGTAACCGAGGGGATTAAACTGTTCCCCCTCCTCCCATCACCACCCTCCCCATCTGTGAGTGCCTGATAAGACATTTCTGTGTTACAGCCCAAGGTCGTCTTACTGCTTTTCTGCTCAAGGCCACTTCACTACTCACCAACCACTCCCCTCCCCCGTTCTGACATGAACAATAAGCCACAAAGTTCTCCTTAGATAAACTTCATGTGCCCTACCCCCCAGCTGTCATATTGCACCACCACCGCACCCCCATACATATTAATTAGTTCCTGAAATTGCCTGCTTATTCTCAGAAACTTCACGAATTATGCATAAGTTCCCTATCCCAAACCCTATAACTGCCCTAAAATCCCCAACCTCGGGGAACTTGATTTGAGGCTCAGTCTCTGAGCTCCTTGCTTGATCGGCCGGCTTGCAATAAAGTCAACTTTCTCTTTCTCAAAGGCCTGGTGTCTCTTAATTGACTCGAGGGGTCACACCAGTCAGGACCCATTCCCATCAGGTTACACAAGCCACTAGAACTCAAATTGAACTCTACATGTGCTAAAAACAGCCATAATTTTAAGGGGCAAATCTCCACTTGCAGTTTGTGGTTTATTTCCAGCATTCAAATCTGCACAAGATGAGAAGATTAAAAAGTAATGTAAAAGAACAAGATAAAAATATTGAAAATCTGAAAGAAAAAGTTAACACGCTTCAAGCTCAGAATAAAGAACTAGAAACCAAGGTAGCATTTCAGTCTGAAACTTCTAGGATAAAGGTATGTAATGCAGTCTCTACAAGTAAATTGATCAAAGGCTTTTCCTCCTGTTTGATGGTGATTAGTCCCTGGGTGGCACAAATGTTAGCGCTAGAGTACTATCCGAAAGGTTGGCAGTTCGAACCTACCCAAACACATTTCAGGAGACAGGCCTGGCAATCTGCTTCCAAAAGGTCACACCCTTGAAAACCCTATGGAGCAGTCCAACTCTGCTCACATGAGGTCGCCATAAGTTGGAATCCACTCTGCAACAAGACACCAGAAATGAACCAACAGAGGATCACCTGATCACTGCAGAGCTCTTGTTACAGTTGTCTTAATGGGAAGTTACAATATCACCTTCCTTGAAAAACCAGGAACCTTGTTAAATTGTCTCTTCTCCGTATTTAAAACTGACCCATGGATAGAATTTACCATAATGATGCGTCAGTTCTTTGCATGAAGATGATATTCCACAAAGGCAGCCAAGGAGTTCTTTCTCTAAAATTGTTATCTGATCTCCAGGGCCTGGGGAAACCAGGCACGTTTGTTCCTATGATGAAAGTTGGATGCTGCTTTAAAACTGGTTTGGAGTACTGAATGTGAGAGATCTTCTTGGGTATCATTAGATTCCTATAGAACATTCTCATTTTAAGAGCCAACTTCGGATATAGGAAATGGATGCTCTCCATGGGTAAGCTATACTGAGGATAAATGACTGCAAATGAGCAACTGCAAAACTCAGGGTCAGAAGAAAGCCATTTGGTAAATTCCTGTTGTGGTGCACTGAGTTTCGTTTCCAGTACTGAAGGGCCTGATCTAAGGCTTTCAACTTTAAATTTTTTTTTATTAGAAAATGTTCTATATCCTACTTTGGTGAGCAGTGTCTGGGGTCTTAAAAGTTTGCGAGTGGCCATCTAAGATACAACTATTGGTCTCTTCTCGTCTGGAGCAAGGAAAGTGAAGAAAACCAAAGACACAAGGAAAACATTTGTCCAAAGGACTGATGCACTACATGAACCACGGCTTCCACCAGCCTGAGCCCAGAAGGACTAGATGATGCCTGGCTACCACCACCAGCTGTTCTGACAGGGATCACAATAGACAGTCCGGGACAGAGCAGGAGAAAAATGTAGAACACAATTCAAATTTAAAAAAAAGACCAGGCTTACTGGTCAGACAGAGACTGGAGGAACCCCTGAGACTATGGTTTCCGGACACCCTGCTAACTCAGAACTGAAGCCACTCCTGAAGTTTGCTTTTCAGCCAAAGAGTTGACAGGCCTATAAAACAAACAATAACACATGTGAGGAATGTGCTTCTTAGATCAGTCAAGTATACAAGACCAAATGGGCAACACCTGCCCAAAAGCACAGATGAGAAGATAGGAAGGGACAGGAAAACTGGACAAATGAAAGCAGGGAATCCTGGATGGAAAGAGGGAGAGTGCTGACACATTGCGGGGATTGCAACCAATGTCACGAAACAATTTGTGTATAAATTTTTTGAATGAGAAACTTAATTTGCTCTGTAAACTTTCCCCTAAGGCACAGTAAATTTTTTTAAAAAAGTAAAAAAAAAGATTATATTTTTTGTGGTAAGATATATTTAACAAAAAGTTTGTCGTTTTAACCATTTTTAAGTGTACACTTAGTGACATTAATTACATTCAGTATGTGGTGCTAACATCACCATTATTCATTTCCATCAACTTTTTACAGAAGTTTTTATGAGTGTAAATAGAAAATAATTTTTCTAGTACTCATTTCTAGTCTGATTTCATTTTTTACATTTAAGTCTTTGACTAACTTAAGAATTTGTTTAGCTAGCTTTGGTGGTGTAGTGGTTAAGAGCTTGGCTGGTAACCAAAAGGTCAGCAGTTGGAATCCATCAGCCGCTCCTTGGAAACACTATGGGGCAGTTCTGCTCTGTCCTATAGGGTCGCTATTTGGGTTTGGTTTTTGTTTTCTTAAGAAGTTTTAGTTTTAAATAAATTTCCATAATTTTATAAAATTTACAATTATTCTCCAAAGTTAATTTGGAAATTAATTTTTACAACTCAGAATGCTATTTTCCAGTGAAAAACTATCTTAAGTGGTGGTTGAGTTCCCACCTGATAAATAAAAATGTGTTTCTTCCACAATGGAGCAATTTTGATGAATATGTGCAAAAAGACAGTATAGGAAACAAAACACTTATAATATTAATAAATAAAAAATGAAAACTATTTCTTCCATTTCATTCTTTTTAAGCCAGCAAGCATAACGTGAGAAAAATTAATTGCATTATAAGGCAAGTTCTATAAGGGTAAGGTGTTTATCTATTTTTATTTACTGCTATATCCACAGAACAGTGCCTGGCTCATAGCAGGTCCACAGTAAATGTTTGTTGAATAAATATTTGTTGAAGACTTTGGAGTTTATTGACGATGTTAGTAGCAGGACCTTCTGGGGATTTTAAGGGATTTTTAAGCAGCTAAGTGCATTAACTGTTTGTACCACCCAGGGACTCCATGTTAGAATAAACTAACTGTAAAAAAAAACACATTTTTGAGGCAACCAGAGAAAACTAACCATGGACTTGGTATTGGGGGGTATTAAGAATTATTTTTAATGGTAATATAATTGTGTTTTCTTTAAAGCTTTTGCCTTTTAGAGATACACATGGAAGTATTGACAGGAGAAATATGATGTCTGGGGTTTACTTTAAAATACTCCAGCAAAACAAATAAAAACAATAACAGAAATTGTGTGTGTGTGTGTGTGTGTGTATGTGTGTGTATGTGTAGTAGATACAAGAAGTAGGGCTTCATTGTTGAAGCTGGTAATGTGTACAAGGGGATTCATTATACTACCCTCTCTACTGTGCGATTTTTGAAACAAAAATTAGAAAATAAAAAAATAACAGGTAACTCGAAAATAGTAAGTATACACACATATGTATATGTAGATATATTTAAATCAGGAGTATGTGTATATTTGTGAGAAAGAGACCACCAGAAGTGAGACCTCAGAGCTTTCAGTTATGAAAAGCCAAAAAACACAGGCTGAAGGGAGCTTAAGAAATGAAAACCCAAATATTATGTTTCCCAGCATTCTCCATTAGGTGGTGTTATTGCAGTCCTTATTTTATTAATACAATATTTTTATTCCACCATCTGTCAGTTTGTCTACTATGGTAGCTTGTGTATTGCTACAATGATGGAAGCTATGCCACTGGCATTTCAGATACCAGCAGGGTCATTCATGGTGGACAGTTCAGCAGTTTCCAGACTAATACAGACTAGGAAGAAAGGCTTGGCAATCTACATCTGAAAATTAGCCAGCGTAACCTTATGGATCACAACAGAACTTTGATTTGCTTGTTTTGGAAACATCATCAGGAGGGATTAATTACTGGAGGAGGACATCATGTTTGGTGCAGTAGAGGGCTAGTGATGGATTGGCACAGTAGCCTCATCAATGGACTTGAACATACTGGCGATTGTAAGGATGATGCGGGACGACCGGGAAATATTTCCTACTGTTGCAGACGAGGTTGCCATGAGTAAAGAGCTGACTGGAAGGCCCCTAAAACAACATATTTTTATCAAAGTCCCTGGATGGTGCAAATGGTTCAAGCGCTTGGGTGTTAACCAAAAGGATATAAATTCATGTCAATGCAGAGATGCCTTGGAAGAGAGTCCGGGCATCTAATTTCAAAAAATCTGCCACTGAAAACTATGGAGCACCGTTCTACTCTGGCACATAGGAGGTCGCCATGAGTTGAAGGTGACTGGGTGGCAAATGGTTCTTTTGGTTAACGGCGCTCTTGCTTTCTTAAATCCACACTGCAGTTACCAAGATCCATCTACAATGAAATCTGACCCCGTCCAAAGAGGGGAGCAGAGCCAGATTGAGTACACACAGATAAGAGAATCCCCAAGTACTAAAGCTAATCCAGGTTGGCCTTTTGCTTTCTCAGTCCCGTCGAAGGTTGAACGGTGGTTCACTACAGGCTCCAGATTAGAAAGGACCGAAAGAGGGAGTCGGAAAGCAGGCTGCTTCCTCCTTGTAAGTGGTCAGCCAAGGAAAAAGCGGGAGAACCAGCGACAAGGTCCAGCTTCCTAGAGAGGAAGACCCGAAGGCCCAACTAGGCGCCGTGAGTAGTGACGCATTTCCGGAGCGCAGCGCCGGCGGAGGTGAGTGCAGGGTGGGAAAACTGTTCGCACCCCAGGTGAAGCTGGAATGAAGCTGCTGCACTGCTTCACAGGGCTTCTGGAAGCCCGAGCCCAGGGAGGGAGCAGCAGCACCCGGGAGAGTGGTGGCGGTCAGCCGGGCATCCCGCCCTTACTTGGAATCCTTCACTCCCACGCTGCGACCGCTTTGAGAAATGGGGACTGTGGCTGTCGGCCGCCGCGTCAAAGAAGTGGCCCTGTGTGACCGACACGACCACAGAACCTCTCGTCAATTTAGTCCGTTACCTTTCGAGCGCCTACTAAGTGCAGTGTTGTTCTATGTTCTGGAGATGCAGCTGTGACTGAAACAGACCCAAGAAGCTTTCAGCCTAATGAGAAAGTCATATATCAAGTTTGATCGTAACTCTCTCCCGCTCATAGCGCTGTAATGACGCTCTATTGTGTTTAGGCTGAAGGCCTACCTTCTTAACGTTAGGAAGGCCCTGCATGGTCTGATGTCTTGCAGCTTCTTCGCTCTTGTCTGGCAGCACACTTGCGCTTAGCTCTGATACAGCCTCCTCGGCCTTTTTACTTTTGGAACATGTGGTTCTTTCAGCAAAGATTCCCCCTTTGACCTAGTTAATTCCTCTCCATAAATCTTCCTTGACTAGGGCAGCTCACCCTGGTTTCTGTGGCACAATCTACCTCTTTACAGGCTTTTCAGACCAGCTTATACCTCTTTGCTAGTACTTGACAGCGTTGTAACCTTACAGTTGTTAGAGAAACTGAGGCCCAAACTGAGATTCCTCTGAGTGTTTAGGAGCATTCACAAAGGTCACTGACCAATGTGAAATCCACCCAAGAACATATAGAAATAATGTAGAGACAGATAATCATAAAATTGCAACCTCCCTTGGATTGGATAGCCGTGAAGCCATTTGAAATTTATCTTGTGCAAAGAGTTTGACTTTAGGCAATTTCAGGTGAATGGGGACCACAGAAACTAATTGTGGCCTAATGTCAGCTAATCTCAGAAAGGAGGGCTTGATTTCAATCAGTCATGTTGAGATTAGTGTATAGTTAGTTAAATTTCTACTCTGTTCCCTCTTCTTTTAAAAATATCATTGTAACTAGCCTGCATTGAGCCATTTGTTTTTTTAAAAACAATATGGTTTCCCTTACAGAATAACTGCTCGAATAAAGTCTGTATACTTTATTTGTGCTTTGAGTGTATTTTTTTTAACAGAATTATTTGAATACAAGTTATACAAGAAGAATTTCTTTTCCTTCAGTATTTGAATCCCTAGCGCCAACCACATTGCCTGTCACAATATGCATCAATGAATATTTGTTGAATGAAAAGGCAAATAAATTTGTAATTCCAATATGACATACTTGGTATAAGGAAAGGGAAAACATGCCCAGCACATCTGATTTAATTTGGATCCTCCAGGATACTACTTTCAAATTGAGGTCTGAAGGGTGAGCAGGAGTTAACTAATTAAAGAGGGACATTTAGTAAATGAGTGTTGCTGCTGTTATTGGCAGGTTTGTTGGTTTAAAGGAAAGCCTTTGACTGGGCTAGGCTCACTCTTGGTTTCCTTTGTTTCTTTCCTCAGCCTCTTCTCTTCCCTGAGAAGGAGCCCCGATGATGGCAGCTATGACCCTGAAAACCCAGCACAAGGTGAGCTGTGGATCCCTCAGGTCAGCCTGAGAGAGATCTGATTTGAAGGAAATGGGGAATGTTAGGGGCGATTCTGGCAAGTCTTAGAGCCAACACAGCAGGAAGATGCCTGTTGATTCCCTTCACTGGGACTGGATGCTGGGGGAAGAGAGCTGATGGTGAGGGGCTGAGCAGCCAGAGACCCCAGGGCCTATGAAGTGATGGATGGAGACAGCTGGAGAGAGTGTCCTGGGAAGCAGAAGTGCATCTTCCTTCATTCTGAGGATCTCTGTTGAGCCACAGGATCCCCAAGTCCAGTAGTTCTCCCTAGCAGAGGGATCTGTGCGAATGAGGGGCTCAGGGTGATGATGTAGGTTATCCAGTACACAGTGGGAGCAAGGTCACAAGGTGCTTGGGGATTGAGGGAGTGGAGGCAGAGGGACAACAGGGAAAATATAAGAAATAGGAGCTAAAAATTGTACAACAACTATGGAATGGTGGTATGACGCTTCCTCAAAAAGCTAGAAATGGAAATACCTTATGATCCAGCAATCCCACTCCTAGGTATATATCCAAAAGATATAAGAGCAGTGACATGAATAGACTTATGCACACCTATGTCCATTGCAGCATTATTCACAGTAGCAGAAAGATGGGAACAATCTAAGCGTGATCAACGGATGAATAGATAAGTTGTGGTACTGACATACAATGGATTACTAGGCAACTATAAAGAATAATGAGGACTCTGTGAAACATAACATGAATGAATCTCGAGGACAATTTGCTGAGTGAAATAAGTTAATCACAAAAGGACAAATATTGTATGGTTCCAGTATTATAAAAAGTCAAGGATATATATACACAGAAAGCAGCATTCTTTGATGGCTCCTAGGGATGGGAGGGGGAGGGAGAATCACTTTCTTCCTTTTTTGAACAATTCATTGTTTAGGTGAAGGTTTAGAGAGCAAATTAGTTTGCCATTCAACAATTTATACAAAGCTCGTTTCAGGAATCACATTCTAGATAGTAGACACGTGTTATTTTTGGTGATGGGAAAGACAATACCACATATGGGTGAAGTCTGTACAATTTGACCAAGGTAAATAAAGACGCTAAGAAGTACACAAGAAAAAGGGACAATTTTGGTAAATACTATAACATATAAGATTTTGTAACAATAGTAGTAACAACCAAAAAATATGTGTGTGGTTACATCGGTAGATATGTATGCATATATGTGTGTAGGAGGGTATTGTGAGTAAATAGATGTGCATGTGTAGCTGTATCTGTAGATATATATATATATGTTTGTGTGTGCTGCGTACATATCCGTATATATAACGAAGCACATAGGGGGCACAGTTACGGAGGTTTCCTAGACATATCCAACAACTTGCAGGATTGGTTGACTGGGTTAAAATGCTTAGGACCATAGTCTCATGGGACAGCTTAGTCAATTGGCATAATATAGTTCATAAAGATAATGTTCTACATCCTGGTTTGGTGAGTAGTATCTGGGGTCTTAAAAGCTTGTGAGCCACCATCTAAGATACAACTTGTCTGGAGCAAAAGAGAATGAAGGAAACCAAAGACTCAAAGAAGAAACTAGTCCACGGGACTAATAGCCCACACGAATCACGGCCTCTTCTAAACTGAGGCCTGACTAGCACTACCGACCGTTCTGACCAGGGACACAATAGAAGATCCTGGATAGAATGGGAGAAAAGTGTAGAACAAAATTAAAATGCCTAAAAGAGGCCAGACCTACTGGGTCAATAAAGACTAGAGGAACCCCTGAGACTGTCACCTTAAGGTAGGTACCCTTTGAACTTGGAACTGAAGCTATTTCTGGAGGTCACCGTTCAGCCAAATAATAGATTGACTTATAAAATAATTACTCACCCCTGAGTAATGTGTTCCCTTAAGCAATTAACTATATGAGACCAAATGGTCAACATTTATCCAAAAGCAAAGATGAGAAGGCAAGGAGGGGCAGGGAAGCTAGATCAGTGGAAACAGAATAAACAGAATGGAAATATTGAAAATGCTGATACACTGTAAAAATTGTAACTAATGTCACAGAACATTTTGTATAAAAATTGTTAAATGGGGACCTAATTTGCAGTGTAAACTTTTACCTAAAACACAATAAAATGTATTTTTTAAATTCCATGGCAAAGTAAAAAAAAAGAAAGAAATAGGGTCCTATACTGCTTGTTCTTTGGGAAGGGGGCAGAAGTTGGGGGTTCAAGATCAATGTGGGAAAGAATTGGTCAAGGAAGAGCAAATAAATGTCTTTCTCGAGAGTCTGTACTGCTGATTGAGTGAAACAGAATGCTGTGATGTGAAAATTAGTTCTAGGTGGCAGGAAATTTAATTTTAGTTTAGATTTTCCATCAGTCTGCAGTGGCATGATGTCCCTCGAACCAGTCACTTAACCACTTAGTACCTCAGCTGATTTCATCTGCCTGATGGCAACAATGCCCTTCATTTCCAGGTTAGGGAGAAAGATTTTGCCAAGTGCCTTTTAGCTCTGCAGACCAGTGAGTTGCTGAGTGCTATTTGATATTATTTTTCTTCTTGAGGCTTCTCTAGCATCTTATCATCTGTTATCATATCCCAAGTACCAATCCCAAATGTCTACTGTTTGTGTGCTCCCTCCACTTAATATCACACTATGTGGTAGCCTAATCGAAACACATTGGAGATGCAATTCATTGTCTTCCTTGTACCTTCCCTCCTGCATTTCCACCAACTGCCGTATGGCCACATCACCATCCTGGCCACTCTGTTCTTAGATTTCAGAGCCGTTGTTGACTCTTCATGCTTTCTTTTGATCTCCGTTCAATCCAAGTCCTGTTGTTCCTGTCTCAGCACCCATTTGTCCCCTTCTTTGTATGGCTTTCCATCCAATTTCATCATCCCTCTCCTGGGACATTGTCAGCAGAGCTTCCCAGCTATTTCCTTAGTTTCTAGTCCTTGGCCTTCCCATCATCTTATATTTGTTGCCTTTAGAGTTAGTTCAGGCTCAGGAGCTTGGATTCAAGTCTGTTGTATGGTGATCATTCAAGTGTTTTAACTAAGGAAGTTGACAGGCTCAGGTTGGTGTTTTATAAAGATTATGCTATGTGCTGGACAGAAGGTGGACTTGAGGGATGAGTCTGGAGTTAGGGACTATTGCAGTGGTCCAAGTGACAGTTGCTGAGGACTAGAACTAGGTGGTGATTGATGATGGTGAGTAGGAGTCAGATTCAAGAAATACATAGGAGTTAAAATTGGCAGGATTTGATTACTGATGCTTGTAAGAAGTGAGGAGTGACTAGGGGGATAGTAAAGAATGATTCTCAGGTTTCTAGCATCGGAGACCAGGCTGAAAATGGTGCTACTAACTGAGAAGGGAATAAAAATAATAGCCAAGATCGTGTTTGAGCATTTACCATTCGTTTTTCCCTGGGCTGAGCAGTTTTTATCAATTAGAGGGAGAAACCAACTCAGGGAGGGAGATGTACTGTTCAGATATACTGGAGCTCAGTACTAGATGGTGCCACGTATGTGTTAGGAAAGTACCTGGCATGAAGGGTGCTAGTTGAGGCGGGTCACCTGTGGAGGCAGTGCTGTGATTGCTGCCAAATCATATGAGACCTTGGAGTGAGGAAATGGGAGGATCATCATTGCACAGGGAAGGCACCAAGATTGATACCAAAGGCCAAGGAGACAAGCATAAGCCAGACCATAGGCTGTCTGGGCAGAAGGAGTTGGGGCTGGTAGGGAGGTTTGGTTGGCAGAGGACAGATTATCTCAGAGTTAGAAGGAGAGGCAGCCACACGAGCTACCCAGCAGCAGTTAGAATCAGGAAGACCTTCTCCTAGGAAGCCCATTGTGCTGAGTGGGCTGTTTAGGTAGCACAGGGTTCCCCTCTGCTGGAGGTACTTGAGCAGAGGCAGCACAGCCCTCCTGTTTTTGAGGGGGTGGGTGGCCTAACAGGGTTCAAACATCAGATGAGGGTTACAGGAGACCAATACCCATTCGGACAAACTATGCCTCTGTTCTTGGTAGGTGGGAACGAAGATTGGGTAGAGCGGCAGGTGTGGGAATACACCAGGGCTCAGGGTAAGTGTGGGGAGCTGGGTGGGCTGGGCCTCCAGTCAGCAGGTAGGTCCTGAGATGGCACCAGTAAGGAGGGCAGTTGGTGGCCAATCCTCTGCTTGTAAGTGGAAGGTTCAAAAGGTTGGAAGGTCATACGCAGAAACGAAGAGGTTTGCTTCAAGAAGGTGAATTCCTGAAAAACTTTCTCTGTTCCAATTTTCTATAATGTTATCCTGCCTTTTGTAATAGTACATCTCATGTGCAAGTAGAAGCTCCTCTGATAGTGACAGGAGTTTCAGATTTTTTGATTGTAGATGCAGTCATTTGACTAGCACTCATGTCCACATCCTTTCACCCTTTCTTCATGTCCCACCCCTCACAGGACCCTACCCCAAGCACTCATACTATCCCCTCTGTACCACCCTCTGGCCCTGAGCCAGAGGATTGGCTCTGGGGCAGCAGGAAACTGTTGTTTTAGGAGGCGGTGACCTTCGAGGACGTGGCTGTGTACTTCACTCGAACAGAATGGGCTGGACTTTCTCCCACACAGAGGGCTCTGTACAGACATGTGATGCTGGAGAATTATGGGAACTTGACTTTCCTGGGTAAGGAACTTTCCTTCTGGGACTTGGATCTGTACTTCTGGTTTCCTTCCTTCTTTTCTCCTTACAGGCTGGGGTGTGGTGTGGTTATCCTCCACTGAATGGTGGCTCCAGGGCTGAGGCTAAATGGCCAGCCTCAGAAGTTGATGCATAGGGAGAGGTGTCAGGTCACTTTGATCCCAATGTAGGGAATTGGTGTTCGCTGGTAAGAGCACGGCACATCCTCCAAAGGGTCTGCGTGTGTTTCTATTGCCAAAGCCATGTTCTCAGCTTGTTGTATCTTCCTCATTGTGTAGGGAAGGGTGTGACCCCTTCCCTGTATTTGCACATGTCTTGCAGGATTTCACTGACTTTCCTGCTTTTGAGTGGTTTTCAAGGAAGAGGTCACAAATACTCAGTTTCCTCTTGATCTAAATCTCTTTGGCCATCCCCAGTCCTGAGTCCTCTTCTACGGTTCTTATTCTTACTGAGACTTTTGGGTTTTCCTTCTTTTGACACAGCAAACACAGGGCCGAAAGATGCCATTGTCTTTCCCCCTTTCAGGATACCCCGTTCCCGAACCTTCTCTGATCTCCCTTCTGGAGGGAGGGGATTTGCCTTGGGGCCTGGAGACACAGGATGATCCACCTGCAGAAAGGACCAAAGACATCTGTAAAGGTAAGCGGAGCAGGTTTAGAACCAGCAACCATAGAGCTTTCCAGAGCAGCGTATTTGAAAATGATTCATGCTGGGCGGGATTTGAAGAAAATAGATTATTTCTGCTAACAGGTAGAATTTGAAATCTTTCCACACAAATCTTAACTCTTACCAACATATTACCACCTAATACATCTTCTGTACAATTCTTGAATCCGTTGCTCGTTCTAAGTTTCAACATTGCCTTAGTGTCCTTCCTTCCTTGGACAGGATGGATTTATTCAGGGGCAATTTTTGAGTGTTTGCATGTGCCAAGCTTTGTTTAAGAAGCTCTGGAGAGAAATCTGTACACTAGTGTTCATTGTGGCACTTTTAACAATAGCCAAAAGGAATCAACCAAAGTATCCATCAACAGATAAATGGATAAACAAAATGTGGTATTGCTCAGCCATAATGAAACTGGAGGACATTATGCTGAGTGAAATAAGTCAATCGCAAAAGGACAAATATTTTATGAGACCTCTATTGTAAAAACCCATGAAAAAGTTTACACACAAGAAGTAACCATCTTTGTTGGTTACCAGGGTTGGGAGGGGTGAGGGAGAAATACTAAATAGACAATAGATAAGTGGTATCTTTGGTGAAGGGTGAGACAGTACACAATATTGGGGAATCCAGCACAACTTGTACAAGGAAAGGTCATGGAAGCTCCAAAGACACATCCAAACTCCCTGAGGGACTGAATTGCTGGGCAGAGGGCTGTGGGGACCATGGTGTTGGGGAACATCTAGCTCAATTGGCATAACACAGTTTATAAAGAAAATGTTCTACATTCTACCTTGGTGAGTAACGTCTGGGGTCTTAAAAGCCTGTGAGCAGCCATCTAAGATACTTCACTGGTCTCACCCCTTCAGGAGAAAAGGAGAATAAAGAGAACAGGATACAAGGAAAAGATTAGTCCAAAGGACTAATGGACCACAGTTACCAAGGCCTCCACCAGACTGAGTCCAGTACAGCTAGATGGTGCCTGGCTACCACCACTGACTGCTCTGACCGGGATCACAACAGAGGGTTCTGGACAGAGCTGGAGAAGGATGTAGAACAAAATTCTAACACACACAAAAAAGACCAAATTTACTGGCCTAAAAGAGACTGGAGAAACCCTGAGATATGGCCCCCAGACACCCTTTTAGCTCAGTAGTGAAGTCTCTTCTGAGGTTCACTGTTCAGCTGGGGATTGGACGGCCCCCATAAAACAAAACGGGACTAAAGGCACAGCAGTCCAGGGACAAGGACTAGAAGGCAGAAGGGGACAGGAAAGCTGGTGATAGGGAACCAAGGTTGAATAAGGACAGTGTTGACGTGTAGTAGGGTTGTTAACCATTGTCACAGGGCAACATGTGTACTAACTGTTTAAAGAGAAACTATTTTGTTCTGTAAACCTTCATCTAAGGTGAGAATAGCAGCACAACTGGAAGAGCATAGTCGATGTCACTGAACTGTGCATGTGGAAATTTTTGAAATGGTGTATCTTTGGCTATGTATATTTTCACCAAAAAAAAAAAAAAAAAAGGTCAAGAAGGGAGAGGGTTGACATGTCATGGGGTTGTTAACCAATGTCATAAAACAATATGTGTACTACTGTTTAATGAGAAACTATTTGTTCTGTAAACCTTCACCTGCAGTACAATAAAAAAAATAAAATTAAAAAAAAAATAGAAATACTGCTCAGCCATAAAGAGAAATGAAGTCCTGATGCATGCCACAACATAGATGAACCTTGAAAACATGCTGAGCAAAACAAGTCAGTTGCAAAAGGACAAATACTGTATGAGCTCACTTATATCAAATACGCAAATATGTAGACACCAAAGATTATTAGTGGTTACCAGGAGTGAGAAGGGGGGGAGGGAGTTTTTGCTTAGGGGGCAGTGAGTTTATGTTACTAATGATAAAATAATCTAGAGAAGGATAGTGAGAATAGTTGCACAACTTGAAAGAGTGTAATGAGTGTCACTGAATTATGCATGTAGAAATTTTTGTATCAGTATATGTTCTGCTGCATATATTTTCATCATAATAATAAAAAAAAAGAGATGGCACTCTGGAGGATACTAGTTATGGAGACAGATGTAAAGACTTGCAAAAGAGTGTGTTAAGTGCTGTTGCTGGTATATAAGCAGTGGGCTGTGGGAGCACAAGAGATGGAGGGGTTCAAGTGATTCCAATGGAGAAGTTTCCGATTTAACAGATAACAGTAATTTTAGATGGGGACAAAAAAGAAAGCTAGTTTGCTCTGAGAAAGGGAATAGAGAATCCAATAAATTGTGAAGGGCTTAGCAGGAGAATCACCTGGAGAGCATGTTTAAAAATAGATATCTCTGGAGGCCCCCTGCAAGCATTCTTTTGTCTTTTTTAGTAAGCTGTGCGAAAGCAAGAAGCCTAAGACTAGAAGCCAAACAGGACTTTATTTTCTCTATTTCTGTGTTATTAATGTACCTTTTAATGTGGAGCACATGAAGTGGGGCTAATTCAAATTGAGTTGTGCTGTAAGAGTAAAACACACACTGGATTTTGAATAATTAGTACCAAAAAATGTGAATTAATCTCAATAATTTTTATACTGATTACATTTTGAAATGGTGATATTTTGGATATACTAAGTAAAATAAAGTATATTATTAAAACTTGTTTCATCATTTTCTGTTTACTTTTTCTAATGTGGCTACCAGAAAATTTTAAATTGCATATGTGGCTTGCATTTATGGCTCACGTTATATTTCTGCTGGGCAGCCCTGCTCTACTACAGAGCATACCCTTAAGCCCCCTTACTTAGCCAACCACGGATAAACATTACTGGTGTATCTTACCCACCCACCCTTGTCTGGAAAATCTAGAATGCAGAGTTTATGGCAGACCTGAAGAGCTCTGTTCTAGGGAACTCACTGCAGGGAACAGGAAATGAGAGAGCAGGCAAAGAGACTTGGGGCAGGAGCAGTGACCTTTACCATAGTGACCTTGCCACTAGTGACAGAGGCCTATAATTGCTGCATTTTAGAAATATTAACTTGACATAATATATGGCTTAATTGGACTGAGGGGGAAATGAAGGCATAAAAACCTGTTTTTTATATATATATATACACTTTAATTTTATTGTGCTTTAGGTGAAAGTTTACAGCACACCCCAGAAAGCATGGCCCCTGGACTCTCTGTCAACCCAGAACTAAAACCATTCCCAAGGCCAACTCTTCAGACAAAGATTAGACTGGACTATGGGACATAAAATGATACTCGTGAAGGGTATGCTTCTTAGCTGAAGTAGATACATGAGACTAAAAGGGCAGTTTCTGTCCGGAGGTGAGATGAGAAGGCAGAGAGGGTCAGGAGCTGGTTGAATGGACATGGGAAATCAGGGGTGGCAGGGAGGAGTGTGCTGTCACAATATAGGGAGAGCAATTAGGGTCACATTGCAATGTATGTATAAATTTTTGTATGAGAGACTAACTTGAATTGTAAACTTTCGCTTAAACTACAACAATAAAAAAATAAAAAAAAGTTTACAGCACAAATTAGTTTCTCATTAGAAAATTTATACACAAATTGTTTTGTGACGTTGGTTGCAATCCCTGCAGTGTGTCACCACTCTCCCCCTTTCCCTTTACACCCCAGGCTCCCTATGTCCACTCATCCAGTTTTCCTGTCCCTTCCTGCCTTCTCGTCTTTGCTTTTGGGCAGGTCTTGTCCATTTGGTCTCGTATACTTGATTGAACTAAGGAGCACAATCCTTATTGTTTGTTTTATAGTCCTGTCTAATGTTTGGCTGAAAGGTGGACTTTGGGATTGACTTCAGTTCTGAGTTAGCAGGTCCATAGTCTCAGGGATTCCTCCAGTCTCTGTCAGACCAGTAAGTCTGGTCTTTTTTTGTGAATTTGAATTTTGTTCTACATTTTTCTCCCACTCTGTCTGGGACCCTCTATTGTAAAACCTGGTATATTGTTGTTATACTGCAGTTAGTTACTTTGAGGCCTCCACTTGGGTGAGGACAGGGTAATATAGGGACAGAAGAGATCATAAGGAGTGTGCGGTGGCATTGACAAAGCTTAGCAGTGGAAACAAGTCAGATAACATAGGAGAATCATGGTATAAGAATAGTTTTTATGGTGAAGATGACACACTGGATTTTTCACGTGAAGTTTGTGGGAGAAGAGTGTGGAAGATGCTTCAGCTCTTTTTCTTACTATGTTAGACACCAGAGAGTCCACACTGGGGAGAAACCCTATCCATGTGAGGAGTGTGGGAAATCCTTTAATGAGAGTTCTTCATTAATTAGTCATCAGAGAATCCACACTGGAGAGAAACCTTATCAGTGTGAGGAGTGCGGGAGAGCCTGTAATAATAGTGCAAGTCTGATCAGACATCAGAGAATCCACAGTGGGGACAGACCCTATCACTGTAAGGAGTGTGGAAATGGCTTCCCCAGTAGTTCTGAGTTGGTTAGACATCAGCGAATCCACACTGGAGAGAAACCCTGTAAGTGTAATGAGTGTGGAAAAGCTTTCACTGTTAAATCAACATTAAGTTGGCATCAGAGAATCCACAGTGGTGAGAAACCCTATGAATGTAGCAAGTGTGGGGAAACCTTTAGGACTTTGGGACACACAGCTGTCTGAGTGTAGCATAGCAGGCTGTTGAGAATGCAGGTCTATAATATGGGGATGAGGTCAGGTCAGGAATTGCACAAGCTGTCAGAAAGTCTGGAAACAGGCAAATATACATAATGGTGTCAAGGACATCTTTAGTCTATTTAAAAAATGTGTTATTATCTATGTTTTGAGATTTTATGGCCACCCTGTATATGTGGGAGTCCTCTATGTCAGTGGTTCTCAACCAAGGGTGATTTTGCCCCCCAGGGACATTGGGCAATGTCTGGAGACATTTTTGGTTGTCCAAGACTGGTCCAGGGAGTGGTGCTGCTTCAGTAGGGATGTTGCTAAATATCCTACAATACACAGGACATCCCTCTACAGCTAAGACTTCTCTGGCCCAAAATGTCAAAAGTGCTGAGGTTGAGCAACCCTGCTCTGTATAAAAGATTCATGTAGCTGAAATTTTCCCAGGATAGAATTCTTTCAGCACTTCCTCTCTGCTATCCTACAGCCCAGTGCCTTCAATGCTCAGTGTCTCAAGTATTTTGGAAAATCTGCAGGATGTGGATTCTAAACAAACAAAAGAAACAGCATGTTAATTGCTCTTACCTCCTGATGACTTTTATTCTTGCCAGCCCAGTGTTTCCTCTTGCTCTTAGATCCAGTGTCCCTTCTTCCATAAGCATTTTCAGGCATGTAAGTACTGTGAAGTCACAAGTTATTAGGTATACATTAAGTATACAAAGGAAGCAATCTTCTATGTTGGAAAGTAGAGTGACCTGGGGTTCAAAACCTAGTTTCCTGTTCCACCTCTACCACTTTCTGCATCTGTGGTAGTTGGTACTTCCATTTCAATAGCTTCCTATTTCTGGCAGACTGACATGGAGGTTGGGATAGTAATCTCTAAAGCCCGATGCTCTATTGTTTCTAGTATAATTCTCAGGTTGTATTTGTGTTTTCTGTTTCTTATGTCAGATGCTGAGACCAACATTCCCAGTGACTCCACATCAACACAAAGAATCTCTGGAGAAAGAGACATGATATCATGTGGGCTGCAGAAGAGTGTTCCTCAGGGAACTGACTTTCCAGAAACATGTGAAGTGGAGAAGCATCAGGAAATCCCCATAGTGAAAAGTATTAGAGGAAAGTTTGAGAGAATCCACTGTGTAGGGAAACCCTTCAGATGTGACGAGTGTGGGAAATGCTTCAGCTCTTTTTCTTACTATGTTAGACACCAGAGAGTCCACACTGGGGAGAAACCCTATCCATGTGAGGAGTGTGGGAAATCCTTTAATG